GTTTTGGAGTGTGTTGTTCAGAGAAAGGAAGTCCACAAGGTTGGGCTGGAGAAGGAGAATCAGGCATGGTTGTGATAAACTTGAGGCATCATATTTTTACTTCGTGATGCTCCAGGTCTGGAAGGAGCCCAGTGAGGGTATTCCCTGCCAGGTTAAGACGATAAGCTGAGAGGAGCTGCAAAGGAGACTCTATTCTCCTTCCGAAGGACTGTGGGGACTGTGGGCATTTGGCTGTAGAGGAGACAAGTCATTCTCCTCACAAGTTGGGCCCATTCTCCTCCTGGGACAAACACAGCTGCCATTTACTGGGTTGCAGCTAGCTTCCTGGGAGCATTCACATAGCAGCTGGCAGTTGGGTCCATAGTGGCCTGTCTTGCATTCTGTGGGAGAAGAAGGAAAAACCGAAACAACTCAAATATGCTTTCAAATACACTGTTACTTCTTGGAACTGAAAGAGATGGGAGTCTGGGAGAAATTTCTGTTTTCTTCTGTGGTATCTTTCTCCCATGCTAGCCTGTGATGTCATAAAAGCAAGAAAGTTCCTCAGTGGAAAACAGGAGTGTGGGTGTGAGGAGAAAGTTATTGAGAAAATTGCAAAGAGGGAAAGTGAGGATAGCAACTTCTATTTCTAAAGAGCCTTCTCGGAAACTGATTACTCCATAACATTTACAGCCCTGGCACTGAGCGGGATGCAGAAATGGATTAGCTGCCTGGGGTCAGAAAAAGTCAACGCTCACTCCGAATGCACAATGCGGGAGGTTTGTCTTTAGGTTAAAAGCATGATTTTGTGTGCTTGTTTTGTTGAAAGTGAAATGGCTTTATATTCGACTCTTGTCTCTTAAAATCTGTCAAAAGGACCATAGATCCCCAGTGTGTCTGGTGTTGTGTACGTGCTAAAAGGACTCAAAGATTCTGTAAGTTGAACTGTGCTGTGGCACAAAGAGTAGAGCAGGTAGGGGCGGGAGAGTAGGGGTTGGGTGCTATTAGAAAGAGAGGTCTTAAAAGGGGCCAGTAGGTTGTGGGCACCAGGTCTGTTGTCCAGGAGAGAATTAGCAGAGAATGAACACATTCATTTTCCTGAACCGAGGGCAAGGAGAAAGCTCTGGATAGCCCACCTAAGGAAGTGGATTTATACTCCTGAGAACAGAAGGCAACTTACAAATATTCAAGGGCTAGAGAACCTAAATTTGTTATTGTAACAGCCCCCACCCCTGACCAGACCCAGTCTGCAGAGTAAAAAGTGGGAATTTGAAAGAGAACAAGGAGTGATATATGGGAAAGATTGGAGGGAGGAAGGAGAAGGGGGAAATGATGTAATTACATTATAATCTCAAAATATAAAAGAAATAATTTTTAAGTGGGTTGTTAACACATTACCTCATTTTGCTTTCAGCAAATATCTACACGGTGGGCAAGACAGTGAGGGAACTCCCCCACTCTGGAGAGAAATGAATGCAGCTTCTAACTGTCATACTCCTGCAAAGGGACAGAGCTGAGTTTCTGAATGCTTGTCTGAGGGGCCTTTCTCCTTTACATAACTATGTGAAACGAGAAACATTGAGTGTATTCAGAAGCTTAAATAAGGCATTGAAGTCTGGAAAATGAAAAAAAAACTTGGAAATATCAGTATAAACATGAAAATGTCGTCCTAGAGGGAATGTGGCACTAGAGGCCTTGGGGGACATTTTTAAAAAATATGTCTTTACTGCTCCAATATCCTCTATATCCTCTATGATAGGCTAAAGATGATTCCCTCATAAATTATTTTATAAATTGTGTGTGTGTGTGTGTGCGTGTGCGCGCGTGTGTGTAAATGTGGCACAGTCAGACTATGGAAGTCAGATGGCTACTTCCTGGTCATATTTCCATTATGAGTGAGTGGGCTGTGGGGATCAAACTCAGGTCCTCAGACTAGTGCAGCCAGTACATTTGTTTATTATCTAAGTTATCTCCAGACCCCTTCACAATGTGAATGCTGCTGACAAATGCATTTGGGACCAGCAAGATGGCTCAGGTCTTGATGGCTCCCGTTTCCATGTATGATTACCTCAGTTTGAAACCAGAACTCCTAAAAGATGTCCCTTGACCTCAAAATTCATACCCACTGTATCACCATACATTCTCATAAATAATAAACAAATGCAATAGAAATAAAGATAAATCTGGTCTCTAAACTTTAGGCTCTGTGGAAAGTTAAAGAAAAAAACACATCATTTCAAGTGAGCCCAACACAGGAGCTCTGCCCAGAGTCTTGCAAGATTATGCAGTTTGCTGGTAAGACCACATTTTTTTGTTCAAAAGAGTTATTAGTCAGGATCTCTCCTGAGCAGTGGAGAATCTGATTTTAATTTATAAAAATACCACATTTTCATGTTAATAACCATGTGTATTTAAGACATCTGTTTGAATGTCTGCAAATGTTAATTTACCAAGGGGAGGGGTGAATGATCCAATAAAAAGTTGCTACATTCTTTTATGAATTAATATTATGGCTGTTTAATAGGTCCGTTACCAGAGTTAAGTTAAAATGAGGCCTTTTATCTTTATGGAGCTGCATAGACACAGCTGCTCACAGTTAATAGTGCAGATGAACTGTAACTAATTGAAAATAAAAAGGCAAATAAAAGACCTTGTAGTACATCTATATAGGCCTGGTGCCTCAAGAGTCCCTGACAAGAGGGACTCTCAAGGTTCCATGGAGAACAGACACAGTACCACATCTGAGCCAGGCCGCTTTGTAATTTCCTCACACATAGCAAGAGACTCTGTAACACAGCACTTAGGGCACACAACGCAGTATGATCCCTTGCCTTGAATCCCAACCACCATAAGTTCCCGTGGTTAGCAACTAGCATTATTTTATATTTCTAATTTTTAAATCACATGATCATTTATTCCACCCACCCATACCTGTGTGCTTACGTGTGTGTTTAGGGGATGGGATAGGAAACAAAAGGCTTGAGCTCAGAGAACAACTTACAAGAGTCAGTTCTCACCTTCCATTGTGTAGGACTAGGAGTCAATCCCAGGCTGTCAGGATTAACAGCAAGTACCCTTACCCAATAAGCCATCTTGCTCACCCTGATATTATTATCTGTTGAGTGTATATGTGTGAGGATGAGTACTTGTGTGCCCCCACAGGCTGTGTGAAGCTCATTCCATTTGTCTTTGTAGCAGGATGTCTCTTCTTTGTGACTCTTGTAGGTCAGGTCAGCTGGCATAAGAGCTTTGAACTTGTTCTCCTGTCTCTTCCTTCCATTTCTCATGAGAGTGTTGGGACTAGAGATGCACACTTGGTATCTATCTTTTCACCTGCATCCAGGAATAGGTCTTAGACTGTCAGGCTGGTGGTACAAATGCTTTTGCCCACTGAGCCATCTTCTAGGCCCTGGGAGTTGGTTAAACCATTTCAAGTGTCATCTGTTAGAACCTCTACCATTTTCTTGTTACACTATCCAATATGGCAGCCAGTAACTAGCAGTAGGTGCTGAGGATGTCAAATGTGTCCTGTGAGTTGGAACAGGTGAATTCTAACTTAAATAAGCAGTGGCATGAAGTTCATGACTCGTGTGTCTCACATGCAGAAGGACAAGCAACATCAATTCCTCAAAGCTTTTCTTCATGAGAGGTGCACTATAAATACACCATAAAAAGCAGGCGCTGACACGTAACACTAAACACTTTGTCTCTAAACCCAGACTGTTGATTTGAAATCTCAAATCTGCAATTTACTTGTTGTATAAAATAGGCAAATAACTGAACTTTATTGCTTTTTGTGAATTTCTTCTTCCTACTCTATAATACAAGAAGGGTGATGGCAGTAAGGGACTTTATGCATAGCACATAATGAATGTTAATAGTTTTCTTCATAGACAGGTAGGACCGACTACAAATGCTATCTTGTGCTTTTCTAAATGACCATTTGTAGGGATGTCATAGATATTTGTTCTGACGGAATATTTTCTGATATGACAGGGTGTAGCAACTTCTGTTAACCATGTCTCCAAAGAAGCAAGAATTCTTTCAACAAATGTTTGTTGGTGTATCTGCTATATGCCAGAATCTATTCTAAACATATATATATATATACATATATATATATATATACATATTCTGTTGTCTACTGACTTAGATCCTCAGTGTCCTACTTTATCAATCAGAAATAGGAGCACAGAGAACTTCCTGTGGTAGTAGAATGCATTAAATGAAGGCAAAACTTTTGGAACGCCGTCTTGCATCCCAGGAAAGCAGCTGCTATTGATATTGCTGAGTAGAGAACAGGGATGTGAAGTGATACTAGGTGAGTAGAAATCTTTTTCAGCAGGAAGGCTAGCATGGCTCTCTCACCATCACTCAGGCCATGAGCTCACAGCTGACTAATGCAGGAATGGATCCTAACAATATGTAACTCTACCAACTATATGTAACCTTAACCCTGTTCTTTTGAAGATAAGCAAAGTAAACTCTGAGATTAAACATTCTATGTGGGGTCTTATCTGAGGTGGCTCAGTGTCTTGGATCTGAGGTGAATTACAAAAAACCTTTTGATCTATTGAGCATCCATCAAGTCACGCTGTGGGTGTTTTGTCACCAATTGACTCAATGCACTCTCCCCTCTTCTTTGGACTGTTGTTAAGTTACTACAACTTTACCTTCTTGGTCATTCTTTCTGTGTGTGGGAAGGAAAACAATGTATAAACATCATTTCCTGAAGACAATCTAGGTTCTTGGGTCTGGAGAATACTACCTAGATGATGTTAGTCCATCTTTATTCTAGTAGTTTTTCGAGTCACTGTCTGCTCATTGTGTCTCTTGGAGGAATTCCCTTAACCAAGGTATTGGTATGGAATACCTATGATGTGTCAACTACAGACAGTGATTCCTCAAAGTGAAGACAATAGGACGCATTGCTAGACAATGTCCTTTTGTAAATTGTAATTTCCTTCATTGAAGTGTCTGTGGATCCCTGTGTCACTCCAGATTTTGCTCTTTGGTCATACCTGTTTCACATCTTGTTCCTGCTCTCCCTGGAGGGCAGAGGCATTTTCCTGTGGTTGGGTGGCAAGAACTTTCTCCTTCACAGTCACAAGGTTGTTGACAATTGTCCCCAAACATTCCAGGTGGGCATTCTACACAGGATAGAGATATGCTGAAATATTAGCCTTTCTTTGATTTATCACAGATGCAAACATTTCTTTGGACACCCTCTTAAGTAGATAATAGAGTTATCTTAACAAGTCCAGAATACTCTATCATACCTTCATGCTTGCTAAAAAAGGTCAACATTTTTGTGTTTGAACATCTGAGGGAATATGCAAATTCATACTAAATAGATAAGTTTTTAAAAGACAGTTTCTCTGTAACTTTGTAGCCTGTACTGGAACCTGCTCTGTAGACTAGACTGGCCTGGAACTCACAGGGATCCACCTGTGACTCAGTCTCCCGAGTGTTGGGATTAAGCCATGTGCCACCGTCACCCAGCTTAAAAGGGTATTCCTAAGATCCAGTCTGTATCTGATGTGATGCCCGCAGGTATCTGGCATCATTCTCAGTTGACCAATCTTTTAAGACTTTGTGATACTTTATTTCAAGCTGATTAGCCTTTATTCTAACTTTCATATTTTATATACATTCATAGTTATGCTTACTCTCACAGTAAATGCCCAATTCTTATCTTTAAATATTTACACAACTCTTCTGATCTGTCTCAACACCACAAATGTACTAGGCATTTCATGAAATATTTAATCTTATTCAAAGGTGTAATCCTTGTGTATACTGAATTACAGCTTTCATTTTGAGATATTACATGGGAGAACAATATTTTAACCAACTAGTAAGAATAGCAGAGGAATCTGATTATCCTGGCCCCTGAATATATTCTTTATAGTGTAATATATAAATGGAAATCTTAAGTGACTGATTTTGACTTAGATTTTCATGTTCACAAATAGGTCAGAAGACCTCATGCTCTCAGAGATGTGCTTTAAAACATCTTGCTATACCTTGTTCACAATGGTTGCCATGGAAACCTGCTGGGCAAACACACTGTCCACTTGCTACATCACAACTGGCTCCATTCTGGCAGTCACAGATGTGAACACAATTTAAACCATGAAATCCAGGAGGACATTCTAGAAGTTAGAAATGTCAAAGTGTTACCTTTATCATAAAAGCAAAACGAAAGATTAAAGGATGTAATGTAGTTCATGTGTTTATCAAGCCTAAAAATGACACAAAATGGAAGAACTAGATGCATGGGGAATCATAGATTAATCATAAAACACTGGGTTGATGATATTATCTGAAATGAGTAAAGCCCATGAGAAGATCTGAATTATCTTTATGTCATTTCGCTTTGATATACTGTGGTTGACCAGAGATGGCACTACAACCCTCCTGTTGTAGTTTAAAGATTAAATGTTCCCATAAACTCACATATTTCAACTCTTGGTCTCAAGCTCATCGTACTCTCTGGGAATTTGTGGAACCTTTAGGAGGTAGAATCTACTGAAGGAACACTGGGATCAGGCTGGGAGGCTTTCTAGGCTGGTGCCCTTTCTGCTCACTCTCTGCTTCCTGAGTGTAGATGCAATGTGACTAGCCACCCTGCTCCTTGATTGCCTAATCTCAAATCCTCCCTCTTGGGATAGACAATATCCCTGTGGAACTATGAGCAGAGACAAGCTCTTTCTCCTCTCAATTACTTTATCACACAAACAGAAAGAAAAAAATTAAAGCATTTAAAACCTAACCCTAAAATAGCAATCTTTTTTTCCTCAATATGTGTTTTTATTTAAACTAGAAATGTGAATGCTTCACATGTCAATCCCAGCTCCCTCTCCCACCTCTCCTCCCTTGTCCCCTTTGGCTAAGATCAAGTGTAGTATCTGTTCTTATCAGTTTAAAATAGCAATCTTTATTAGACTTCTGATTCAGGCTGTATCTAGCAATTCTAACATTAAATTAAATTTAACATTAAATAAAACATTGTGTGTGAAAAGTGATTTATATAGCCCTTGTATTTGCAGTCCTGGGAGGGGACTCCCATGGCCTGAACATAAAGAAAAAGGAAAAGATGCAAAGGAAGGACAAAAAGGATGAAGAAGACAGATTATATATTATATAAATAGCAGGTTGGCATTTTATGAGTAAACTAGGTTTTACAGTCAGTGGGATTAATCTTTCAAAAATTTCTTTGGACAGCCTCTCAAGTAGAAAATAGAGCTATCCTAGTAAGTCCAGAGTATTCTTTCTTAGCTCAGGTTAGAACAAGATTGATATTTTTGTGCCTGAGCATCCGAGGGAACACTTGTTTTGTCTCCTGGGACTGTGAATGCAAGCCAGCCCCAAGCATTTCCTTGTAGGACAAACTTATCTTCTTATGGAGATGCTCACCTTGGAACAGCTGGAACTACATATGACTGTGGATAGATAATGTCCATTTCTTTCCTTGAGTTTTCTTTGGTGTAGTCACTCGTTTATTTTTAAATGTCCACTTACCTGACAATTATTCATTATTCTTGTAATCACCCCCATCCTCTCTCCCATTTTCTTTTTAGGCATGTAAGAGTGAATATTCTTAATGTGGATGATGCTTCTCTAATGTACATGGAGTTACTCAGAACAATTTAGAAAAGTCACCCAGAGGGGCAAAGGAAAACCAGGAAATAAAAATGAAATTCAATAATGTAAGTATTCCCTTTACTATTTTATTGTAACTGTTGAATAAAAGAAAATCTGGCACTAAGGAAATGTCCAGAGATTTACAGGATGAACCCAACTAATCTAAGCAATAGTGGAGAGGCTACCTTAAATGCCCTTCCCCTATAAGGAGAATGATGACTACCTTAAATGCCATCATAGAGTCTTTATCCAGTAGCTGATGGAAGCAGAAGCAGAGATTCACAGCTAAGCACTGAGTCGAACTCCTGGAATTCAGTTGTAGAAAGGGAGGAGGGAGGAGCAAAGGGGTCAAGACCATTCTGGGGAAACCCACAGAAACAGCTGACCTGAGCAAGTCAGAGTGCAGGGACCCCAGTCTGACAGGTGGGGAACCAGCATTAGACCAAACCAAGCCTCTTGAACATGGGCATCAGTTAGGAGGCACGTGCAGTCTATGGGATCTTTGACGGTGGAACTGGTATTTATCCCTGATGCACAAATGGACTTTGGGAACCCATTCCCCATGGAAGGATCCTCTCTGAGCCTAGATACACAGGGGAGGGCCTAGGTCCTGATCCAAATGATATGACAGACTTTGATGATTCCCCAATGAAGTCCTCAACTTTCCTGGAGAATATGTGGGGGTTGGATGGGGAGCCAGTGGAGGACATGGGAGGATGGGAGGAGGAGGGAATTCGGATTGGTATGTAAAATAAGATCGTTTCTAAATGTAAAATAAATGCACAGATTTTCTTCCTCTGTTCTTATGAATGGTAGACAGAGAATACACAGAAGGGTCAGATTCCCATAACTTCATTTCTTTTGTTAAATATAAAAGTGAGGGGTAATTGTTTCATTGCTTGCATTTCCATTTCACTCAATAGTTTTATGTCTCCAAGTAGCTCGTTTAGGAAATGTATACACATTTTTACTCTTTAATGCTCCAGTCACTATTACAGTGGATTATTACCCCAATGTGTTGCTTTGTCTGTGCATTTCTATTCACATCCTAGTCCAGTTACGCTTCGCATCCCAGCCTGTGGTTTGAATGTGGAAAGTACCCCATAAGTGCCTGTATCTGAGCGCTTGCTTCCCAGCTGGTGGTGCTATTTAGAGGCAAAGCGGACCAGCAGGAGGTGAGGCCTTGCTAGAAGAAGTGCATCACAGTGACAGGACTTGAGGATCTGAAGCAACGGGAAGTGACTGAAACACTGGGCTTTCATTCCACCATCCCTCCCACGTACCATTGCCGATCCTAATAGACAGCAATATACCTGTACTCCTTGGTTATCTCATCTTGGTGGTATTTCTTTAATTTAAAACACTCTTTGATGAACCTACAGCATAAATGTAATGGGTCCTAAATAAATACATTTTTCTCTTCTTTACCTCTTACTTCAATTTTAAAAACAAAGCAAAGGAAACAAGTGAACAAAATGTCTGATATTTCATTCTTAGCCCTAAAACATCAGATTAGTTACAAGACTTTGAATCCCCAAATGTTTGGCAATGCCCATTCCCATTCCTGAGGTTGAAAGAATAGGAGCATGACCAATAGAATTTTAGACAGCTGGGAAAAACCTTTGCATTCTACGTAACTGATATCCACCAGACTTTTGTCATTCACCTCCAGGCTCAGTGCTTAAACATAATTTATTATTTAGTTCTCATGACAACCTTATTAACCCACTATGCAGATGGTAAAACCTGCAGAGGTAGGCTGTCTAGGACAAATTCTAGAGTCCTCACTCGAGATACTGTCCATCAGGAATCTCAGGTGCCAAGTCATTGCCTAGGGTTCTTGTTTTCCAATTTTAGCTGATAACACTGAGTACAAACATAGCAACAATATTAGAAACTATTTTGAAAGACAAGGTGAAGGCAGCTCTTTCAGACATGAGTCATGGCTAACATGGAATATAAGCAGCAATTTCATCTATTGTTGCCCAAAGGCAGCTGGGCAAAGAACATCCTTGTTTAGACAAACTCACAGCTGGTTCATGGGGTGTCTGTCTGCAGAGCGTACCTCCAAGTGATAATGGGATTGTCAAGTCATTTATTGCCAGAAAAGCCTAAAGAATTTTTAAGTTGATTTTTATCATGCTAATTGTTAAAATTTAAACTTTAATTTGAGCTGTGAAACTTGCTCCACTTATAGTAATATACACTAAAAGGTTGTGTAATTTGATATAATATGAATATGCTCTCTATGACTTAAAGTCATTTGGAAGCTTAGCACCACACTGCATAGTACACACAGTAGCTTCTGCTGTTTACCATGTTCACAGTCTTTTCCATAGTACCCATAGGGGCACTCACAGCCTCCAGAAATTCTGCTGCAAACACCACCATTCTGACACGAGCAATTGAATTTGCAGTCTGGGCCATAATTACCAGGAGAGCATGCTGTGGAAGAAAATACCAAACATTAGGATTTGTCAAAAACAAGTAAAAATTAAAAGTACAAAGGCAAAAAAGTGTTATTAATGAAGAAATTAGGGATAAATAAACCACTAACTAACCCAATTAAGACGGAGAACTCACAGGTTAAGCTGTGTATATGGTACAAAGTAGTTCTCAGCCTCTGGGTCTCCAATCCCCATCTCAGATATTCCACATATCAGATTATATGCATTATAATTCATAACCGTAGCAAAATTACAGTTATGAAGTAGCAACAAAATAATTTTATGGTTGGGATCACCATAACAGAAGAAACTATATTAAAAGGTCACAACATTAGGAAGGTTGAAGACCAATGTGGTAGAGGGTATGCCTAACATGCATAAGAGACTGGGTTCCAACTCATCAACCTGAAAGTTAACAAAACACAAACACCTAATGTTGTTTAAAAGATGAAGGAAGGGGAAAGAGAGATTGCTCAGTGGTTAACAACACTGGCTGATCTTGCCAAGGACTTAGGTACAGATCCCAGCACTTACACAGCAGCTTATAACTATCTGTAAATCCTGGTATAGGAGATCTGATTCTTTCTTCTACCCTTCTGTACACAGACATACATGCAGGCAAAACACCCCTACACACACAGATACACACACACAGATACACACACACACACACAAGCTTTTTTAAAATGTGAAGAAAATGGCAATCCAATTTGCAAATATGAAAATCATAATATAAATAAAATTCCAAAATGAAATGAAATGGGAAATTCTATAAAGAACAACTTACCCAAGCCACCCTAATTTGAGTCAGAAAACCTAGATAAGACAATTGTAGTAAGTTCTTACATTTGAAAACTAAAAGAGAGAGAAAAAAGAGAGGGCTATTCAGATTCACAGGGTATTCTGCAAATGTTCACTAGGCAGGGCACCATCTACAGACATTTACTAAGATGGGCACCATCTAGATTTGGAGTATTCAAGAGCATTTAAAGAGAAAGAAACTTTCCAAATACTATTTATTCAGTGCATTGAACACCAATTTTAAAAACTGGAAAAGGTTGCATATAAAAGCAGTTCCATTTTCCTCTTGGATATCAATGTCAAAAGTCATAGAATATATAAGTATGTAGAATCTAATGGCACTTTATGAAATAGTTAATCATGGTCACACTATTTATTCTCAAAATGTAAGGCCACTCAGTATTGGAAAATCATTAATATTACATCATATTTGCAATCAGACTAAGGAGAAAACTAATATAATAAATTGCATAGATGTGGAAAAGTCCTTATAATAAATTCACTAAAATATAGTAGGTTATTGTGCAGATTAGAAAATTAATTATTTGATCCTTAACTTGAATATCTTAATGTGAATGCTAAAGCCAGCATTTTTGTTGATAAAGAGTAAAATGTTAACAAAAGATGGACTGTTTGTTCTTGAATACAGTGAGTTAACCTAGAAATACGATTCTTCCTGAGGAAACACAGTACAATGAAGCAACAAAAGCATGTTTTTCCTAGATAAGTGATTATAACATTCATTTGGAAGAACAAATAAATAAGAATAACAACAAAACCCATAGAATATGGAACAGTAATTTCATGTTTTGCTATGAAGCCAAGGCAATACTTGGATACCAGTTCCTCTTCAGTCTCCAAAGTGCTGAGACTGAAGTCATGAACTATGAGTCCCAGGACAGCCATCCTCTCCTCTCCCAAAGACAAACATATTCTAGCCATTTGTCAAGTCCTCTGTGAGTGTGGTTTTCGTCAGGCCTCTGCTTAGAACCTCTAGGCTCAGCCAATTTGATGTCCACAATGGCTTTGGGCTATAGGGTAAAAGTGGAATTGAGGTATCAGGGGAATTTGTTCCCATCTATACTATTTCAATTTCTTAAGGTGTTTCCCACTTTTCCTGTGATAGTCTAGAAACTATGTAATGATTAATGATCAATATTTACAAGATTTTATTGGAAATATAATCGTAATTACAAACAGGTTATTGGAAAACAGTGTCTTCATAGGCCTCTACTCAGCACCTTATAATAGTGAGCCCTAAAGTGGACTTTGTGAGGGTAATAAGGAATCATCAGCTTGCCTTTCTCACAGTAATGCCCGGTCCACCCAAGGCCACAGGTGCAGCTTCCATCCACAGGACTGCAGAGTCCACCATTTTTACACATACATTTGAGCTCACAATTGGTACCATATCTTGTCTGAGGACAACCTAGAGGAAAACATTTTAAAGTATTACATTAAATGAATATGTCATGAGCCAACAATTGTTTTTTTCTCCTTTGAGATAGTTTCCACACGAAGATAGCAAAAACAGAAAACCTTCAGTTGAAAACAACCACATGGGTGTGTCTTCTAGGTCACATGTACAGTACTGCCATTGGCTCACAAGGGTCATAGTCACTCCATGAACATTTACTGGGCTGTTCTATGTGCCCAGTACACTGCCACCTAGGGCTTGCCTATGGTACAGTCAGTAGTAATTTGGATCAAGAAGTAGGATCCTTAGTATTGACTGTCGACTTCAGAAGGATCTATAAACAGGCAGGAGACAAGCTGTAGGCACACCTGAGGGATTGTTTAGGTTAGGTTAGCCAGAGAGGGACTATGGATATCAGGTTAACTGATTAAGGTGCCATCATTCTCTTTGTGTGGATCCTGCACTGCATTGAAAGCAAGCAAGTTGAGCAGTAGCACTCACTGTTCTCTGCTCCTGACTGCAGAGCACTATGACCAGCTCCGTGCAGGCCCTGCCATTGTGGCTTTTCCCTCCAGGTAGGACTGTCCCCTAAAACTGTGGGCCAGGTAAGCGCTTCTCCTTTAAGTTGCTTTTTTCAGAATATTCTATCACGGCAATAGAAGAAGTTCCAATAATGGGGCGTGGTTCCTACAAGGTCTCAAAATCAATAGAGAGGAAGGAGGAGCAGTCATTTCTCCAGTGCTCCGGGGCTTCACTGTTCAGCCGAGGAGGGTGGTAGCCAAGCACACTGCCAACAGCAGTTAAGACACCAGTGAGCTAAAAGAGGAGGGCCTAAGGGCCTTCTTCTCCATGCGAGGGGCCTATCATGGGGTGACAGGAAACACTATCAGTGCGAGTTCAAAGTTCCTGTAAGATGAGGATGATTCTCAAATTTAGTTGGCTTTGCCATAAAAAAATGGCCCCATACTGCCATCTAATACAACTTTTTTAGGAAAACTCAATATCCATATACTTCGTGAAATTCTCCAATCTTTGAGAGTTGGCAACTAATTAAAATCATTTTATAACAGCATGGAAGGCATATTCTGAAGCCAATCCAAACACATTTGTGGCTAGATTTGGCCAAGGGCCTACCATTTATAACCTCTAGTTTATGGAGTTTTTACATAATGATATTTCACACATGGATTATCTCATTTAATGCTCCCAAACACCCCTGTGATGTGGGTTATAGTGTTCTTAATTTTCTCTTGGAAAAACTGAACCTTGGAGACCAAAGCCTTGTGCAGACTTAGACAACCAATAAGGCCAGAAGTCAAGACTCAAAATTGAAACCTCCAACCTCTAACCAAACCTGCTTCCAATTTCAATAGCAGGAGAGATGTTGGGTTATCTTTTTTTTGTTGTGTATTTCTTAATTACAGCTAGCATTAAAAAAACTTAGATGGATTTAAAAGGAGAAAACTACACAAGCATACAGAGTAAAACCCCTAACACAATTTGCATGATGTTTCAGCTAAGGTAAGGCAGAATGTGCCGCTGGTTCCAGTAGAGGCACTTCCCTGTGTAGATCTGATAAAGGGCCAGTTGTTGGTGGTCAGACAAAGGAAGGTTTTTACTTTGTTAGGCAGATAACAGTGTGTGATATACATGCATGTGCTGGTTCTTGTGTACTTCTATGCATGTGTATGTGGAGGACAGAGGTCAACCCCCAGTGTTGTCCCTCAGGAGCCATCTTCCTTTTCAATACAACATTTCTATTGATTCCCTGGGAATCCCACATCATACATCCTAATCACAATGACTCCCCCCTGTCCTCCCATGTTCACCCCACTCCCATGACCCACCCCAACAAAATTAAAAAGTCCTTCTCCTGCAGCCTGCCAGAAGCCATCAACTGCAGAAAGCTAAACTTCAGCATGCTTTCACAAGTTTTCAAGAGTTCTCCTTGATAGCTTCCAAACAGGGCTATTACCTTTGGTAGGAGTATGGCCTTCCATGTCCTGTCCCTCTCTCTTAACTGTGTGTCTGCAGTTCAAAATTTCTGCAAAAGTAGTTTCTTTGCTCCATACAGTCTGCAGGAGCATGGATTTTGGGCTTCTATGAGGTTTCAGGTGACAGTACAGACCACAAACAAAGCTCCCAGCTGCACCAGGACCATGGATCTAGGATCCAGACATGGCCCACAGTGGCAGCACAGCCTGGACATCACCATGACCTCAGACTGCAGTTCAGACCTTGACTATCCCAATGGCCTTTGATATCACCACAGACCCTGTCTGCATTAGGGTCATATCCTGTCTCTTAAGATAGGGTTTCTTTTTGGCCTGAAGGTTGAGGTTAGGGAAGCCTGACTGTCCAGCAAATTCCAGGGATACTTGTGTCTTGATCTACCAAGATTATGCATGTGATACACTGTTTGATTATTCTACATTTGTCCAAGGGCTCAAAATATGTCTACATCATCTCTCTCTCTCTCTCTCTCTCTCTCTATACTATATATATATATATATATATATATGGATATATATATCCATCTTCATCATCTATCATACTTTCTATGTACTTAATAGGTACAATTTACAATTACATGTTTTCTGTTGTGTTGTTTTCTGCTGCTACAATAAAATACCATGACCAGAAGTGGCCTATGGAAAAGGGGTTTATTTTGGATTGCAGTTTCAGAAAATGCATCCTGCTGAATGCAACAGAGGCACTTCAGCATTGTGCACTGTGGCATGAGCAGGAAACAGAGAGAAAACTGGAAAGTAGAGCAAGATTTTAAGTTCCGAAAGCCCACCTCCAGTGACAACCCTTCCTTCAATAAGGCCAGTCCTTCTAAACCACCTCCTAACAATGCCATCAACTGAGGACCAAGTATCTAAATACTGAAGCCTATGGAAGACAAATCTCATTTAAACCATCACATACTATGTAAACCATGATGTCTGATGTATTCAATTAAATGGGCCTTAGTTGACTCATTTTGCCAACAGCACATAGCACCTGCCCTCTTTATGTTGCTCAAAAATGTGGTTCATCAACAATCAGTGTATTCACCTACTATGTAGGGAACCTCCTGAAAGTTACTGCTTACACCTACCTGTAAGCCTGTGTCCTATGACCAACATACCCCCATTCTTCCTCCATTCAAGCTACAACTACCTCGCCTCTGATAACCATTGCATCTTCTACTTGTATGAAACCTATGATTTTTGATTCTCTTAAGAGTCACGTTTTGTTATCGTTTACAGAAAAGTGTAATCACTGTGAAATGGAGTCATAATCTAGGAGTGTTTAGAAAATTCATGGGGTCTTATATAACATGGAAATGTCTGTATTATGCTGGCTTTCTTGTGTTGATGGTGATGTGATCAAGATAATTCTGTTTTTCTTTTCCAATTTTAGTTGGATAAAACGTATTTATATATTTTCAGTTACAGCATTCAAAATTCTAGAATTTTCAATTAAAAGAGTTGTCACGCTTAAATCGCATGTACTAGTAGAGATTGGTGCCTTCAACCCTGTAAACTTCAGTGAACGAGGAGCAGTAGATTGACACTCACTCTTTCATTTGCCTCTTTCAATTTCTGGATCATTAACATTTGATAATACCTCCATATTGTTATAACATCTATCTGTGTCATGTAGCCATAATGTCTGCAGTTGCTTTAAACTTGGCAAAACCTAAACTGAATTTAATGTCATGAATCTTCCTGTTACTATAGTTTTTCATTATTTATTTTGTTGCTCCGATTTATCTTTCCACTGTCCCTTTAAAAATTTAAAGATACAATTTTTTCAATAACATTTTATTTTAAGAAATAGCTGTTGATTTACCATATTATATCTGAAAACAGCTTACCTGTGAATAAAATACTTGGGTCACATTTTCTCCCCAAGATATGAGTAGATGTTGATTAATCATTTGCTAACATTGAGCACTGCAGTGAGGCACGAACGTCCTCAGAGCCATACTCACAGTGACCTTAGAACTCCCTCTTATTCTTAGCAGAGTTTCAAGGACAGGAGGTTTTAATTAATCTTCTTTTATTTCTGAGTAATATATTTGAACATTTTTCCTTTTCCATTTTTTACGTTATTATTTCCAAGCTGCTCTTTCATTCTTGTCATTTTCATTGCATACTCCATGCCTTCACTGGAAACATTAGAGCCTGCCTTCCTATTCCTTACTGTTCACGTAGCCTTCATTTGCATGACGTGGGATCCAAATTTCATTTTTATTGTTTTCTGCTCTTCTCAGTTTAGCATCCATTCTCTTGTGTTTTCTGTAATTTATTCTATGAGCTCTCGCATCTCTGCCTTAGCATCACATTTTATAGGAAACACTCTTTCTTCAGGTCCTTCAGTGGTAGAAGGAATTCTGGCTAATAGTCCTGTGTTTTAAAGTAAATCTTAATGATCTAGTTTCATGTGTTTTACTTTTCAGGTTCATCTTCTTTCTTCTTACCGAATCAGCTGTAACAAGCAAATAGCACTAAACACTTCGTTTTCTAATTTTTAAAGTAGAGGATGTGTTTCATTGACTAGCTTTATGCACCAGATATTTTCTTAGGGGGGTAGTGTGGCTTCAGGGCAGAAACACTAGTACTAACAATTTGGAAAGTTTCTTGGTCTAGAATGAAACCCATGTGTACAAGTTGTGGGAATGCATGTGTATATATGTGGGTATATATATATATATATATGTATTTGTATTATGTTTGTGTGTGCATTTATATGGTATTTTTATTCCCACACATACATATATATATATGTATGTGTTCACATTATGTATGTGTATGTGTGTTTATATGTGTATTTGCATTCACATATACATGTGTGTGTGTGTGTGTGACTATTTAGCCACCATCTATAGATTTCAATATGTCCCAGTATGTACAAACCAGGGAAGATTAAGGATTCTCCCACAGCCTGCCTGTTTACACAGTCCTTACCAACATATAATTGTAGCTTTTACCCTCTTTGTATAGCAAGGGGAATGCCAGCTCAGATGTCACAGCTGAGAATCATGGCCAGCTCTTTTGCTGTAGCTCCATGCATGGATGACTTGATGGTTCTTCTATGCTTATAATTTTATATGATATTAATCAATGTGAAGACTCCAGAGAAGCAAGTCTATACTTTTCAACACAGACAGTATTTGCATGTTTATATTCTGTTTTCCTCACAGCAGGCCTTTGTAGGTTGAAGAGGATGTGGGGTTCTTTCATCTTGTAACTTAACTTCTCTAACATATTTCAGAAGTTTTCCAAGAGAGTTCACTGTTGCCTAAATTTCTCCTCCTAGCCAAGAGTATACATACATAAGTCATCTTAATTTCTATACCAATTTCTGTGACCTTTCAAGAGGCTGTGTCCTCAACAGCACAACGGGTAAACATGCTACCATGTGATTAAAGCTTCATTTTAAAAGAAGCATGGAAAATCATGCCACAGTCCTGGTACTAGACTTGTGATCACAGTTCAGCGTGTTTATTGCTTGGATAGTTATGGTGAATCTTTAACAGGCTTTGTTACCTTGCTGACACCTTGATCCCATCAAGCCAGGTGGACAATCACACCTCCCTGTTACTGGGTCACACTTTCCTGAGCCACAGGAACACCGTTGGACACAATTCTGCCCATAATGATCTCCAGGACAAGCTAGACAAGAAGAGCAAATTAAATGTGTACAAAGCTTATTTTCTTATTGAACATCTATCACTCAAGATTTTAGACACTTGTCAATATGTGGTTCTTTTTCCTAATCCCACATCTTGCTGACTTCCCTACAGTTTGATTCCAACCTAAAAGTTTATTTTAAAAAATAACCAAGTAGGAAGTTCTAAACTGTTGCTATCTTAGAGCAGTTTCAGCTGCAATGTGGAATATATGCCTGTTTCTAGTTTCAAAACCCATATCTGGTGCATTTTACTTATAAATGAAAAACTAAAGCTTCCAAACTTATGTTACATATACACATAAACACACACACACGTACAACACATACAAACATGGTCTGAATGTGTATGTGTGAGAGAGAATGTGTATAAGTATGTATGTGTGTATTTGTGTGACTATGTGTATGAGTATGTTTATGTATATATGTGTATTTGTGTGTGTGCATGAGTATACCTCTGTGTGTGTGTGTGTGTGTGTGTGTGTGTGTGTGTGTGTGTGTGTGTGTAGTTGTACTTTCAGGACACACATAATTTTTTTGCAAAAATATTGAATATGTTTTCCTTTCTGGAATCTTATTTTATATTCCTAACCTCAACACAAGAACCATAATACTCACATTTTCAAATATTATCAATGGATTTACTATCTTTGGATTTACTGATATATTTTTCATTGTTCCAAAAATGAATTGAGATGAATGCTGAAAGCAGATAGCACACAAAGATAAAAGAAAAATCTGTAAGAACCAACTGAGATGTCTACGTGGTAACAATGTGAAGATAAACATGAGAAATCCTTGGCCTTGGCAGAGGCAGGCGGCACACTTGGCTCTAACCTACCGATCTGTCAAGGCAAGGAAAATGGCTCCTACAAGATCACAGCTTTCTTAAGACAGCATGTTCCCAGTGTTTAGGAGCCATAGCCTTTGAACATACTCTTATGTGGGGATGTTCCTCCCACTGACTCTCTTTGAAGAGCAAACATAAAGGAGCCAGCCAGAACCTTCCTCAGGAAGTGTTTATGGGATGACTTTCACTCAAAGATCAGTTGGCAGTTGAGGAAACAGAGGCACTATCCCATAGGCATCTATCATCAGCTCTTTGGATTTGAGACTTTGTCCTATTAAATTTTTATGCTCAATACAGTGCAGTGCTGTCACAGGACAATTATCAGATAACACTGTCCTTATGTAAATCAGAGGCAGCAGCCCCCTGCCTGAGAAACATAAGCAAAGAAAGTATCTTTGGCATACACCAGCTTAATGGCATGAATAAACACAAATTCCACTACTCCTCTTCTAGCAAGACCATAAATGAAGGTGTGTGTGTGTGTGTGTGTGTGTGTGTGTGTTGCATATGTGTGTGTATATACATATGTGTATATGTGTTTTTTATCTGTTGTATGTATGTGTATATGCGTATGTGTATATGCATATCTTTGTAAATGTGTTTGTATGTGTATGTGTGAATGTATATGTCTGTCTATTGTGTGTGCATGTGTGTATACATATATGCTTTTTATGTATACATATGTGGGTATCTGTGTATGTGTGTACGCTTTTCTGGATGTATTTTTGTATGCATGTGTATGGTATGTGTGTATATATGCATCTATGCATGTGCACATTTATGTGTGCATGTGTATGTGTGCAAGTGCACATGCATGAACACACATGAATGAGTTATTGAAGGTCATCTACTTCTAATTTAAAACCGTATCAATGGTGCTTCTCTCTTTTAGTTGTGAAGTTAATGACCATTGGAGATAATATGACCTTAATGAACGACTCAAAAGTGAATAACCCAATCTCAAGTCCCTTGCCTGAAAACCAGATAGCCCAGCTTCCAACATTTCTCTTTCAGTCTGTTTTCTTCCAGTTACTTAGAAATGGCAGGTCTGATGATAAATGAGATACATTTTCTAGGCACAAACTTACAGGGTCCAAACACATATTTTAAGGAATCTTCAACTTTCTGTTCCTTACATTTGATGTTAATAAGTTTTGCAATGTACAGTTAAGGTATTTGGACTTCCAACGCTCCCTCTTGATGAATAGAAAAACTACTTATTGTTGAGCCGTAAAATTGCTGAGTATAGATAAAATTCTGGAACTTGGGGCAAGGTTGACACTATGAACACAAAACCCTTATGCTGACCTTGCCTAACACACTTTTCCAGTCCTAACTTGAGTCCATTATTTCTGGGTAGAAGGGTTTATGGCAGAAAGATTTCTTGTGCTAATTTTGATGACTGTCCTCAACATAGGATTTAGATAAACTTGCATTTACTGTCACGATAATAAATCCCCAAGCAAAATATTGTACCACCACTCACTCTCATACCTACAGTCCTTAAGAACTATGCCTTAGTATTTTACTACACACTTTGGACAATGGAGTCTTTATCCTATCTTCCCGGTAAGTACAGGGTGAAGCAGTAGGATTACCACAAAGCCAGCTGTTCAAAGCCAGCATAAACTGGACAGCAATACTGACTGAAAAACCAGGCAAGAACAACTTACTTTGACTGCAGTCTGCCCCCAGGAAGCCAGGAGGACAGGTACAGGTGCCAAGTGTGCTTTCACATTGACCTCCATTCAAGCACTTACATGATTCTTGGCAGTTTGGACCATAAGTGTCTTTTGGGCACCCTGTTACAGGATAGCAAAATTTCATATATTGTTGTAACTCGAAGCATTCAGGTATTCAAACTCATGCCCATACCTCTCTTAACTCAATATTTCAATCTTCACTGGTGATTTTAGTTGCCTTCAAGCTTCTGATTCAACATTTGATGGCATGATGATAGATAGGTAAGATAAACACAGGAAGGCAGAAAGACATACAGATTGTTGGATAATAGATACATGACAATAGCTAACATATACACATATATATGCACATATACACTTACAGACAGACAGATGCCGTATGAGATACTGTCCCTTGATAAATCATTAGGCTTCCTTTGAGCTTCTCTGACATCACCCTCTGAAGCATCCTTACAACTGAGGTTAATTCAAATTCATCCTTTCTTTACTGATTAAATATATGTTGTCATGACCAAATGATCCTGTTGTGTTTGATAATGTAAGAATTCAAAAGGCACCAAGTGTAGAGGATACTTTCAATTTTGGTTAGTTTATTGTTTTCTATTTTTATCTTAATGCCTACACAGGCCTGTGTTACAGTTTGAAGAAGAAACTTTTCCCGTGTTTATATATATATATATATATATGTATATATATATATATATATATATATGAAAACTTGGTTCTCAGTTGCTGCTTGGGAAGGTTATGGAATCTTTAGGAGGTAGACCCTAGCTGGACGAAGTATATCACTGGGCTGGGCTATGGAGTTTTGTAGCTTGGTCTCGATTCCTATTCTCTCTGTCTCTGTCTCTGTCTCTGTCTCTTTCTCTCTCTCATGCATGAAATATGGTTTCTCTGCTTACTGACAGGTCTAATGGTCCTGTTGAAGACCTTCAGATCTGTGATGGACTGTCCCTTTCTGGCAGTTTAAGTTAAAATAAGTTCTTTCTTTGGCTAAGTTGCTTATTGTTAGGGTGTTCTATCACAATAAGAGAAAAATAATCAATGCAGGTCTTCCATAATGACACTATGTAAGACTTTGGTCATAGGAAGCTTTCATGAAGTTGCACTTTTTACAACTTTTGCATGTATCCTGTATCCAAAAGCACAGCTATTCCTTGGAGACTTAGATTTGACCATAGACTCAGAAAGCAGCTGCATATTCCTCCTTTTCCCTTCCAGCTTAAAAAACAAAATCATGTGTGGTGAAAACTAGGGCGAACACTGAAACACTGTTCATGTTCAAGTTTGCTCCTCTGTCTGAGCTACTACGTTATTCTGCTCTTCCCTGCGCTGGGTCCTCTGTGCTGCTCCCTTCCAATGTATAGCAGTGCTCACAGCACTCTTAGTGGTGCTCGGTGCTTACGAGGCACTCCCTTCTAAAATGTACTGGAGAATGGTAAACATAAAGTTAGTACTTTAATAAGACACGCCCTTTCCTTGTCTTCCATTTAGTAAGATATGATCATTTTCCTGCATGTGTAACTGGGTGTGTCTCAGAATGTAGTTTTCATAGTTTCACAAAATTAAGGACTTCTAAAAATCTATGATGCTGAAAAGTGTTTGGTGACTCAACCGGAGGAAAACAGACAAGGAAACTGAGGCAGTACAGAGAGAAACGATGTTGTAAGGCATGCCCCTCAGGTGGGCCGCTTCCTAAAGGGAGATGAAAGTGGTAGCAGGTGTTCTAGAAGCTTTCAGAGTCATAACTGGGAAATGGATCATGGTGTGGATTTCTTTGCAAGTAAGGGAAAGAGCTTCTCTTTCAAAAGAGAGACTTTATATATAAATGTATACATACACGTAGCTATCATTCTGAGGATAAAGAAATACCACAATCGATGAGCAGGAAGAATGGCCTAGTGAGAGTATCTAACAAATTTAATTAACCAAGAGATGTAAAGTACAGATTTTAAATTGCTTTTCCTGTGAGTTGAAGCTACAGGACAGCCATTTCCACCCAGGACATCCACCACTCCAGCTATTTTATCATTGACTTGTGCGTACTAAAGTTACTATTACTTTTTCTTTGTTATAAATAGAAAAAACGCATCATTTTGTGTTTCAACTTAATTATCTGGTGAGACTTGCCTGCTAAATAATATGTTGCCTATTAAGACAATATATGCACAAATCTATGGCTCACTGACTCATTATATTTACATCCCAATATGGTGCATGGTAATTTTTTCCCGAGGATTACTTATTTTGTGGACAATCACACTCTCTCATTTACTTCTGTGGCACATGGAAGTTGGACTTCTTGATTCATGAGGACATCCTAGAGGTTCACTAAACTTAATAAGACACACCCTGGACACAGGGATTTTACTAAGTTTGTCATAATAAAGATAAGTCTTCTCTCCCTCATTTCCTGATGTTCTGTTTTTATCATAGTGTTGCCTTTGCTACATCTCTTACAGTTATTCTTTCTGGAAATCTTGTCTCCTCGGCAATTTCCCATTACAAAATGACCATGTTCCCCCATCTACAAATAATCTTCCCCTCTTTTACTCTAATAAAAAAATACTCGATTTGGAATTCACCATTCTGACTTGTTTAAATATTGAAGGCTCTGTGGTGGGCCCCTCTGTTACTGTACACTGTGATTGTGTGAATGGCATTTCACTTAGACAAACAAGGCTGCTACTGTATCTCGAGGCACATAGTTCCCAAGCAAATGAATAGCATTAATCTGTTTTCCTCAGTCCGTTTGCCTAGTGTTTGAAAAGGTTACACACATGTGGGCAAGGCACTGTGACACAATTTGGCTTTACTCTGAAAAAGGAAAAACTAAAATCTTCTCATAATGAATGTTTTTGGCCATGGGCAATGTCATCAATGACAAGCTTCCATGAATGCCTTCATATCCTCCTGACCTGGTAAAGCTATTCTTACCATATTTCCCAAAGCATCTATTTGAAGCATGGACAACCTTTCACAAAACTGACTAGTTACCGAGAACTCAAATGAGGGTGTTTCTAAATGGCAGGCAGGAGTAAGATGTGTGTAAGGTTTCCAAGGTCTACAATAGTGTGAGACCTCTCATTGGTCATGAAATCAATAGGACTGTGAGTCCATATCCTTTGGCACTTGCTGCTCTTTTCCTATGTGAGATCCACACGCTCAGGCTAAGTGTCCCATCTCTGAGTTATGAAAAAGCTGTGAGATGTTCAGTGTGAGTTTGTCTGCTTCCTCTGACCTCTGCTGAAAGAAACATTTGATTCTCCCCCTCTGAACTTGAGAACATGAAAGCCCAGTTGTTCTTGGCTGCTGAAGTTTTGCGTTGGAGCCAGCTACACCTTTTATGGTTATTTTTTTGAATCTTTCTTCATAGTCTTGTAATTGCAGTGGATGCTGCCAAGGAACCCTTGCAGCCATATCCAACCACGTGTTGCTTGGAGCTAAGCCCACTTGACAGTCAGGGAGCTGTTCCTGGCTCAACCAGCTTTACTTTAACAAGGTGAGGCTACCTCCCTTAACCCAAGGTAGCTCACCTTCGGAAACGAAATTACCACCAAGTCGTATGTAACCTGTTATTATTTTCATAACATAAAATATTCTTAAACCAGGAAGGAAGTTCTTCTGAGATATGTAACACCTCTCTAGGACAAGATGCTTGAGATTGACATAGTCACAAACCAAGAGAAATTTTTATATTTTAATTATTCATTTTCAACTAGAATGACTGCAACTTATAGATCTTAAAAGTGCTAATTGAAACAAATTTCGTATATGTTTAATTGTGGCTTTAGCTGCACATGTTTAAAATGTATTAATGATATTTGGGATATACTTTCTATTGAGTTTTAGAAAATTGGCATGATCAGGAGTCCATGTATTTAGGAAAAATGACTGGAGTAGCTAGAAGCAGGAGTAGTCATGGCCAACTTGGGGAAACAAATGAAACTGAGGCCAAATCATTTTATTTTTATACTTATAAAATGTGCATTATAAATAGTTATAAGCTTAAATTTTAAAAAGTTGATTGAAAATTTTCTCATGCTCCTTGGGACTCTTTTTAGTGTGTTCTTTCTTCTATGACCATTTTTGGTTGTTAAATCCATTCCAGCAAACCAATATAAATCTCTGAGTCTAGGGATGGTACTGTTTTATTACAGGACTAGGAGCAACTGGTATTTTGTCACTTAAGCAAGTCATTGTTTTCATTACAGAATAACAATTCATTTAATTTTTGTTTTGAAGCAGACATGGAATCAACTTACATTTGAATCTCTTTAAATATGTTGTCATTTCATAATTTCACATATTTTTCTTTGTCTCTTTTTATACTGGATACTTGTGAAGAGTTTGGGGGAAATTTTTGAACAGAATAGAGCAAAAGAGAGATGGAGAAGATAGTGGCAGAGAGAGACTTGAAGATAACACTTTCCATTATTCAAGCAAAATATCCCACACAATTTGTTATGGGACTGAAGTTTCCATTTGCCTTTTTCCTTCACTCTGAAAAATAGTCCAGCCTATTGCTATATCCTCAGTAAAGCACACTTCTCTGTACAGACCATACTTACTGAGCTGGCAGTGGTTCCCATGGTAGCCAGGCAGACAGGTACATCTTCCAGTGACTGGATGACAGTCTTGGTCCTTTGCTGAACACTGACATACCTGGTTACAGTCTTTCCCATACGTGCCTGGTGGGCAGACTTAGAGGAAGAGGAAAAGCAAGCCAAAATGAATTGAATTTGTCTGTGTAAATATGGTCCTAAAAGTGAAAGCAGGGGCAGCTTATTAAATAAGACCGTTGCCTACAGAAGTGCAGAGTCCTTTGGGATTTGGGTTTCATTAAATTTGCTTGGGGATTACTTCACTATTTGATTTTGTTTTGTTCCGTCAATTTGTGATTGACTGTCAAGGGTTGGCTGCAATTTTCTTGTCATAGAAAAAAATCATAGTGTGATGTCAGGGAAAATCAACTGAAATAATAGTACAATTCATACGGGACCTTCTATTTGGATAAAGATATTATTTCTGGGGTAGCTGTTTTAAAGTCTCAAGGTGGTTTCTCCCTGCACTTTAGCAGGTACTGTGCTTGTGTCACTTGTCAGCCCCTTAGCTGTGCTCTGCTCTTTCTCTATGTAGTCTCAACAGCGAAATCCCTCCATCTGACTTTTAAATCACATAAAAAAGGAAAAAAGGGGGATATCGGTATTTCTCTGCACAGAACATGGATCCAAGCAGACAGTTTGGGTTCCATGGTTATGGACACATGGCCATTCACACAAGTGGAAAAAGAAGCAGGCAAGTCGGCCATTAGGACCTATAGGCCTAAAACAGTCCCCACCAACATTACCAGATTCTGCTGTGGGTACAGACACTTTTTGATTTAGAAATACTGATTGTTCAAATATCTGTTCAAGAAGCATTCATTGTGAATCTTCCAGGTACTCAAAAGGGCACATTTGGCTCTCCTGTCAGCAAAGCTTATTGACCGGGCTGATTAATGTCTAAAGAAGAAGTGCCGAGCATGGCTGGGGGTGGGTGTAAGCGACCTTCCTGCCTTTTACACCTCATTGTCTGTAAATCTGGAGCCTTCTTTCTACCCCACTGTGACATGCTGTGAACTCCTTAAGGGGAAGTATCTACACAGAAGGATGACAATCAACTAACGCAATAATTTGTCTTCATTAGAGTCTTACAAAGTTTTATGAAGTCAAAGTTGAATTGATCGTACATTTTTTTTAGCTTTTGTAGTCTGCACCTGCTGTGACAGTTACATGGTGATGAAGTTTGGTCTTCCCAGAGAAAGACTGACTACCCACAGCACACTGTGATCGACTACACAGAGAGATGTAATGGGTGATTCTAAACATTATAGGATTTGTGTAATTAATTACAGCTCAACTTATTTGCCTAGTTTCCATTATGAGGTGTAGAGCCCAATGGCACTGAGAAATCTGAGCTGGTGTTATTTGAATGAGCCATCAAAAAAATTATGCTGTGTTAAAGTGACTGGTAAATGTGCCATCTATGGAGACTACGTGAGTGTGTGGACCAAAGGCCCATATATTCGGTCTATGGCTACATACTCTATCTATGTGCTATCTGTGGTCTCAAAGAACTTACTACACATACATTTCTGAAACCAAATGTCCTCCCTACAGGAAGATGAATAGAATGTATGCTACATATTGTTGTAAGGAGGAAGGCATGTGCAGGAAGCACTAATTGGACTTTGTGGGCTATCAAGAAGGAGTGGGAAGAGGGAGAAGAAGGAAAAGAATAATAAAAAATAATAAACTTGGGAGAGGGACTTACTGGTGAGATATGGGGATAAATGAATGGAGTAAATGGGAGGTTGATACAGTCAAATGAATTTAAAACAATTCAAATAAAAGTGGTATGCATGTGCAAACTATGCAGAAAATATAGATTATCTATTACTTAAAGACCATTTGTAGGTGTTTCTACTACTCATGAAAACTGTTTTTTCAAAACAAGTATTGAGGGATTGGGAGATACCTCAGTAGGTAAGGGCGCTCTCTGAGAAATCATGGGAATCTAAACTTGACCCCCAGAACTTACATTAAAAAATTTCTGGGAAGGGAAATGAACAGCTGTCATCCCAGTGCTGGGAAAGAAGATAATACTTGACTTTGAGGGTTGTCACCAGCCCACAGAGTCTCTTTGGTGAATACCAGGCCAGTGAGAGTCCCTGCTTTAATAAGACAAGGTAGCCTGTGCTTAAGAAATGGCACCTAAAGTGGCCTCTGATCTCTTCACACATGTGCACATATATATACATATATATATAATTATATATATGTATGTATATATATATGTATATACACACACAAACACTCACATATGTTCCTCCATGTGTTTTCATACACACAAAACATTGAAATTAACTGAAACACATGTAAATAGAAATTAACAATATCTCATGCATTTTCTTCTTTGGGGGCTTAATGAAACTATGCAAAAGCACTATTCACTTTTCCATCCTAGGGGAAGCCTAGGGGTAGCATTAGCTTTGACTGTGAAAACCAGAAAAATCAAAACAATAAAAGTGATAAATGCCTTGCTCAAGTAAAGCTTGATTTCCTATTGGTCCTATGATCAGTTCTCATGCAATAAAATTAAAATGGAAATAGAAATAAGGTTTAAAAAAAGATGTGTAAATGCTATGCAAAAGAATAGTTTAGAAACAGCAAACATTTATTCTATTATCCATTCACCACGCAACATTTTTTCTCAGTAGTTCCTCAGGAAAAGAAATGGTGACAATACCCAAGACTTCAGAAGCATGTGAGTTAATGCAGAGCCTGGAGTGCCCACTTTCTCTGCAAACAGAAGCACAAAGCACAGAGGCAAGCACATCTGTTACCTTTCTCATACTTTCAAAAGAATGCCATGTCATAGTCCCAACCCACCATGAGAGACTTGCAGAATTCTGGAGATTCCATACCCACCAATATACTGCTTGTGAATAGCAGTAGGCATCAGGTTCACAAGAGTGGGAAAAATCAGATTTGTGTACTCATCAGGCTAACAGTAGCAAGATGATAAACATTATCACACAATCATCCAAACAAATGCCAAATGCCAGCTGTTGTGAAGGTGCAAGTGTGACAAGGGGACTAGCATTAGAGCTTGGATTGGCAGGGGTGGGGTACGTGTGTATAACTCCAGATGTTGTTCGTGAAGGGGGCACTATGCAACTGAGCTGTTAGGACATCAGAGACAGTTCTGTAGACCAAGGAAAGGAGAATAGCGAAAGGTATGAAGAATAGTTTTCCATAGGGGAATCAGGTATGCATGAGTGACTGAGAGAATTCTTAAGGAGTATGACCCATGACTATTATAACAAAGGTGCATTTATGAACTACTAACTCAAGGTGACACCGTTTTATTATGGAGGACAGAAGGGAAAAGTCAAAATGTTCTTTCTTGAAGCTAGAAGAGAGATGGATTTAATTGTCTCATAGTTTCTAGAAGCCACTTAACAGTCCTTGGCTTGTGGTTCATGTCCTCAAGCAACAGCTTCTTGAGTCTCTGATCTTATAATAATTTTTATGATCTCATTAATTCCTTTCAGGTAATTCAAAACTTGAGATGCTCAACTTAATGGCATCTACAAAATTCCTTTTTCTTCATACAAAGTCACGCAATCACGAGGTCCTAGAATTAAGACATGGATATCTTTGGGGGATCTTTGTTCAGCTTATTACTATTCTATTACTATTCCTATTTACTATTTCTCTACTCCTTACCACTGCACATGACTTTGAACTTACTCTTTAGGAGTTATGTTATTATATACAGTCATGTTCCTAATAACAACTTAAAGTAAAACCTCCTTAAGCATACATGCTGTATCATACTTAACTATATGATGTCAAAATACGTGGAAAGACTATGGCTAATAATTTAAAGATACTTTCCCTTAGTAAATGAAACCCAAATATATCATTTAGTATTTCACACTGAGAATGATTTTGAGATTCTTTAGCGGTCAGGGCCCAGAAAGCAGTGGAAGCATCTTGGCATCCCAGCAGATATTTCAAGGGAGATCAAGTGGGAGAGATGTAATAAAGGGCTCTGATAACGGAAATTCAGATGAAATCCCCCAGGATCCCAGAAGAATTTCCAGACCATAAACTTCGTTTTCATCCAAGTGTTCCATGCAGTCTCCTTTAAAAGCATTTAAAACTGTTACTCATACAGTAATTCCTATGGCAATGTGGTACATGAGTACTGAAACCAGGAACAACCCAGACTCTTCTCAGGATAGACTCAGGGCTTCCCCTCCCACACACACACTCTCTCTCTGTCACTCTGTCTCTGTTTCAGAAAAAGTAAGACATAGTTCAGCATCCCAAAACTTTGAAGACACCATGAAGACAGATGACATAACTGTGGCTGTCAGCCTAAAACATCTTTACACTAGAATGTTCTTATTCATGTTTTATCAGCCAAATGGGCTGGTGAAACTACTGGTCAGTCACATTGGAACGAATGGAGCTGACTCCTCTTCCAGATGACATCATTCAGGATGATAGAATAACTACAAAACCTTCATTGTGTAGCTTCCTTATAGATGATAGCTACATTTTGTTCTTTGAATTGACCAGGGAAAGTTGTTTTAAAGATGAATGGACAATGGCTTTTTGAGTTAGAGATAACAAAATATTTTGATTGTGAAGCTATAATCTGGGTAAAGGAAATGCCCAAACCATTGTGAAGGAGGACAAGTACTGGTTTTGTCTTGCCGATTTTGGCAGTATTCCAGACTTTTGTTAAGTGGTAAGAGGTCACCTTTGATAAGATTCAAATTGGAAAAAAATCAATTAGGGTATTTAGTAAAGCCTAGTATTTCATGAGCCCCCCTGCCCTAGCTGTGCTCTAGAGCATTTCTTACTCCTTGTCTTATGTGTCTCTTATTTATAAGATGATGTCCGAAAGCATTTCTTATACTTTTCTCCTGAAACTAGAAGTCAAGTGAGACACCAGCTAAAGACTTTAAAGAATTTGTCTTTATTCAGTCATTTTATTTGGATTGGCAAATGCTTTTTAAGATGGCACACAGAAACAAAACATGTAAGAGAATACAAAGTGTTCACTTTTCACTTGCTCAGTCATTGTGTGTAGCATAGCAGCTTCTTTAGGAAGACCTGTCCAAATGCAAGATCTTTGTAGCCTC